AATCTATCAATCTATCAATCATCTATCTACCTATCTTTCAACCTATCTACCTATCTACCACTCTTTATCAACTTATCTACCTATCTGTCTAGGAAACCACTGATAACTACAACGTATTTCAGTAACTATGATCTTTCTTTTAATGGCTAACTTACTAATTCAATAATCAAATCAAACCACAAGCATAAAATATTCTAAAAAGTCACTGACAAAAAAAATAAAAATAACCAAAGATATTATACAAAGTCCCTTAGTTTTCAATACTCTGCATTAATTCTCTATTTTTTTTTACTTATTGAAACTTCATTCCAATCAAAGCTATTCAATCTCTACAGGAATAAGGGAAGGGATATATGCACTTAAAAAAAAACTGTATCATCTTAATTTCAGTTATACACTGGATATTTCTAATACAGATAACTTTTATTTGGATGATATCTCTTGCATCTTGTCCAGTGTGCACAGATATTTGAGAATTTTAAAGGCTATTTCTCTTCCTTCGTAAATTGTCTGAAAGATCTTTAACTTACCTCCTAATGAATAAGTTCAGTGATGCAGAGCATTGAAATCAAAATGAAAAAATTAGAATTTTAAAACATCCAAGGCATAAAAGTGGTATATACATTACGTGAAAGAATGTATGTGAAAAGTAATAATAAAAAATAATAATATAACTAAGCTTAACTAAGACAAATATTCCAGTTAATCCAAATGTCAAAATATACCAACTACCGTAAAGCTGCATTACGCATTTTGCCCCATACCACAACCCTATAATGCCAGCTTAGAAAACATGAGACTTACCAACGCGGCATGTTATTGGCGCTAACCCAACACCCTCCACCAGATATCCATAGCCACAGGTGTTCAGCTTGAAAGGGTATCACATTGTACTCTGGCTTCTCTTCTCTGGTTACGACCAGAGAACCCCGTCCAAGGCCAGCTTCACTGCCTGCACTACTGCTGCTCACGTGGCGAAGGCGTGACTCACTCCACTCCCCACTCGAGTGCTGCAGTGATGGTGGACCCTCGTGCGTTGGTTCTTCTACTCTATCACTTTTGGTCAACTGGTGATCCTCTTCTGGCACTCCCTGAACTTCCCCTTCCACTGACTGTCCTTTGTTCATATTCGTTTTGTTACCTTCTTCACTCACAGCAATGACCCCATTGGCCAATGGACTACTCTCGCCAGCTTGAAAACTGCTAATGAATTCCCCACCTGGGTCAGACACGACAGAGGAGCTAAGTGAACTTGGGTAATCCTCTGGGTAGCGTATTTTGATGCTTGAGTCCCGGCTATCATGACCCGGGGAAGTTTCACTCTTCTCCCCAGTTCCAGTGACATTTGCCTCATCTTTCTCTTTTTGCTTCAGCTGTAAGTTTGGTAAGCTAGTCTTATTCTTGTTCTCCGATTCATCACCTGCTGATACTGCTCCACTTGGAGGAGAAGCAGAACTGTCCAGCAATTTTAGGTTGTTCATAGCTGTGGCCATGCTTTGTAGGTCTTCTCCATCTGAAGTCTGTAGGCTAAGTAAACTTTCACCGTCACACTGAGGTTCTAATTTCCTCAATCCCCCATCAACTGGTGTGTTACTCTCACTCTTACTCTCACTCTCTGAAGTGATCTTGGATAAGGGTCCTGGACTTGGTGCAGGGCTGGGACTAGGGGTTGGCTCTGGGGTCACTGATATGTCAATTGGGAGACAAATGGGCCGCCAAGTTCGCCCTGTGAGCTCCGTCTCAGTGATGCCTGTGCGGATGAGCAAACTGTAGTCTTCACTACCGATGCCCCAGACCTACACAAATAAAAGTTCATTTAACCCTGAAAGAATCACATAAATTTTGTAATTTCACCAAAACCCATAATGTCCAATGAAAAGATATCTAATTACCATGGAAATAAAAACCTGTTTTCTAACCTGGTCATTTGGGCCAACAGAAATCATGTTTAGCATGCCCACCATCTTCAGCCAGCTACTGCCAGTCGTTCCTGTGTCCGTCTTGGACTGACTAGTTCCATTGCCTGATCTGTTATGCTCTGAAGAACCTTCCTTTGATGCTTGGAGTCCTCTCCGGAACCATACCTTATGGTCCCTTGTCAAGGCCCACACCGACTTCATTCCAACCGCCACCTGCTGCAGAGGACTGCCATTTGGAGGCTCAACGACAATCCAATCAACACCTGAGAATCAACTGTTAATCAGACAGCTAAAACAAAAACAAAAGAGATAAAAATACATGAAAGGCAAGTTTGAAAAATATTGGATTCCAGGTAAGTCAAGGTAAGGCAAGCGATGCAAAGGAAATGAAAGGAAGGAAAGTCAAGGGCAATGGCAAAGGGAGAGGCCTGGCCAAGGGCAAGGATAACATAAGGTAAAGTATAGAAAAGAATCTAGTAATAACAAACCTGTGGGCGCATCCCTTGTCACCCCAGTCCTCACGAGAATGGTGCCGTCCCAGGTTACAGACCACACTCTCCCTGAACGTCCTATTCCTACAGTTGTCACATCCCTTTCTGGTGGCGTTGGGATGTGTTGCCAACCGCAACCCTCGGGACAAGTGCCATCAACACCACTACGAACCATAACCTATTCATGAGAACACTTTTGTGTTAATCACTGCACTAATGTACTACATTCAGATTAAAAACAGACATTATCTGAAAAATTTCCTCTCTCAGATCAAAATCACTAATGCCTTCAAGAAATAAGTGAATACAAAAAAATATATAAATGATATATGAAATATACAACTCACAATGAGTAATACACCACTATCAACTTGTTAGATCCAGGGCCATCTCATCACAACATATCACAGCCCCAGGGTGATAGGCCTCACTACAAGGTAGAGTTGCCGGTTGGTGCGTATGAATCAGTGTTCCTTTAGGAAGGGACTCTTGCAGTATTTCCATTGAGGATGAAGTGTAACCTCAATGCCAATAACAGCATTAGTTCCAGGGAGGACAGTATATGCACATGTAGTGTGATTTATTCCTGCCTACAATTACCAGGAACACAGGGTTTGTTACAGAAAACTAAATAATGTGAAAAGATAAAAAATAACACAAATAATACAGCATTCCTTACTAATGCTATTATTAAACAGAGTGTAAACTACCTGGAAAATAATTTGCTGCTCAACAAACATCATCATACTGAAAAAGCATAACAAATGACAAATACAGTCCTCAGAATATGGCAAATCAGCAAAAGCACATCAGCAGAAAATGCGCTAACAGGCATAGGGTCTTGACATCTAGCTCAGATTACAATCCATAAACCAGGAAGAATTGCCACTTCGTGTGCCTTATGCCCAGATTTTGGTCTACATGCAAGGCACGAGGCACCCGGATCCAACAGGTTAACAGATTGGAAAAATAATCAGTGAGAAACATACCCGACCAAAGACAGTAACGCCCCACACCATGAGCTTGTCTGGGTCTTCGCCAGCCACCTCCCCTCCCCCGACGTTAATGTCAATGAAGGGTTCCTGTAAAAGAGTACATGGGATAGAAGTGTCTAGTATACGTGCGTTCAACTTACCTACCTATCTCATTCTCAAATGCCCTCTACTTAATTAACTGCCATATATCATGCTTGTTAAGATAACTGGTTTAACAAAGATATATTCTATGTGCCCTTAAATAAATGTAACAATATTCTGGTATGCTAGTGACAGTGAAATCATCTTTAGAGTACCAAAAGTTACAATATCAACAGCCAGCTCTTTCATTATCTGTAATAATATACATATTGACTAACCATTCATGACAAAGATGATGGAAACCTCATAATTTCTAATCAGTATCATGATATAACCAAAACCCTCTGAAGACATTAAATAAAGGTGAACAATAACTATTTCTGTCTATATCATAATATCTAAAAAGTCATTATAAAATATAAAGTTGATGATGGATGATGATGATGATGTGATGATGTGATGATGTGATGATGTGATGATGTGATGATGTGATGATGTGATGATGTGATGATGATGATGATGATGATGATGATGTGATGATGTGATGATGATGATGATGATGGATGATGATGATGATGATGATGATGATGATGATGATGATGATGATGATGATGATGATGATGATGATGATGATGATGATGATGATGATAGTGAGAGTGAGGGTAAGGGAGAGAGTGAGGGTAAGGGAGAGAGTGAGTAAGAGTGAGAGTAAGAGCAAAAGTAAGAATAAGTATAAGAGTAAGGGAGGTGAGGGTAAGGGTGAGGGTAAGGGTAAGGGTGAGGGTAAGGGTAAGGGTGAGGGTGAGGGTAAGGGTAAGGGTAAGGGTGAGGGTACGGGTGAGGGTAAGGGTAAGGGTGAGGGTAAGGGTAAGGGTAGGGTGAGGGTAAGGTGAGGGTAGGGTGAAGGTAAGGGTAAGGGTAGGGTAAGGGTGAAGGTAAGGTGAGGGTAAGGGTAAGGGTGAGGGTAAGGGTAAGGGTGAGGGTAAAGGTGAGGGTAAGGGTGAGGGTGAGGGTAAGGGTGAGGGTGAGGGTGAGGGTAAGGGGTGAGGTAAGGGTAAGGGTAAGGGTGAGGGTGAGGGTAAGGGTAAGGGTGAGGGTGAGGGTAAGGGGGTAGGGTAAGGGTGAGGGTAAGGGTGAGGGTAAGGTAAGAGTGAGGGTGAGGGTGAGGGTGAGGGTGAGGGTGAGGGTGAGGGTGAGGGAGAGGGAGAGGGAGAGGGAGAGGGGAGGGAGAGAGGGATATAGGGAGAAGGAGAGGGACAGGGACAGGGACAGGGACAGGGTCAGGGACAAGGACAGGGACAGGGACAGGGACAGGGACAGGGACAGGGACAGGGACAGGGACAGGGACAGGGACAGGGACAGGGTCAGGGACAGGGTGAAAGTGATTGTGATTGTGACTGCATAGGATTATGATTGTGATTGTGATTGTGATTGTAATATTAATACAAAAGATACAGAGATACATGATCAACACCTACTTTAGTGTGATCTTGATGAATAGGAGGAACAGCAGACCACGTGTCGAGGGCGACATATCTTCTGTACCGCACCCACTTCCTTCGTCTCACACAAGAATTCCACTTCTTTTCTGCAGTGTACGTCCTCGGGAAGTCTACTGCATAAGTCCATCCCTGCAGTGAACGTGAGATGTAAATAGAATAACCCTTACACAAAGGTAGACACAACCATAGTCCCTATGTAGATCATGATTAAAATCCATTGCATCATATCAGTGTCATAACAGTTGAACAGTAATTTGAAGCCTCCCAAACTGGCATAACACGTTAGAATAAACAAAGAAGAGCAAAACGCAAATCTAAAATGTCTCAGTCACGGCTCGCTACCTCCTTATCAAGAGCCTGCCCTTCGTGAGTATGATGGAGGTGCCAAGGCGACTCCCACGACCAAGCAAGTGTGGGGAGGGTGATGCCTGCCATCTTTCGGTCGGTGAGGCCATCTTCGCTCGAGAAGGAGGGACGATCCGAGGGCAGCAAAACTCCACTGAAGCCTTCAATGGGGTTCCAACGCTATTCGAGGGAAGGGATATTAGTAATGTAGTGAGGAATTGCACGTAAAACCAATAGGCCTTTCGTAGTCTATCTACTGTTCTCAACCTGATGCCACCTTAAGTAATTAATTGTACAGACATATAGATGATTCCACGAGTTCTTAGTAACGAAGGAGTCAATCACTAGTCCAACCAATCTCACCTCTTAACCCTTTTCCATGACTTTTTAAAGGATTTCATTCTATTTTATATTTCATTTCTATTTCATTTATATTTCATATCTTTTATAAAACGACACAGAGAAACACACACACACACACACACACACACACACACACACCACACACACACACACACACACACACACACACACACACACACACACACACACACACACACACCACATACACACACACACACACACAATTACTGACAGACAGATAGATTTGGATAGAGAGAGAGACATACACAAACACACACACAGATAAATATAGATAGAGACAGAAATACAGACAGATACATAGATAGATAGACAGATAGATAGATAGAGAGATGGATGGATAGACAGATAGATGGATGGATGGATGGATGAATGGATGAATGGATAGTGAGTGAGAGAGAGAGAGAGAGAGAGAGAGAGAGAGAGAGAGAGAGAGAGAGAGAGAGAGAGAGAGAGAGAGAGAGAGAGAGAGAGAGAGAGAGAGAGAGAGAGAGAGAGAGAGAGAGAGAGAGAGAGAGAGAGAGAGAGGGAGGAGGGGGGGGATAAATAAATAAATAGATAGACAGATGGATGGATGAACTGATAGATAGATAGATAGATAGATAGATGATAGATAGATAGATAGATAGATAGATAGATAGATAGATAGATAGATAGATAGATAGATAGATAGATAGATAGATAGATAGATAGATAGATAGATAGATAGATAGATAGATAGATAGATAGATAGATAGATAGATAGATAGATAGATAGATAGATAGATAGATAGATAGATAGATAGATAGATAGAGATTAGATTAGATTAGATTAGATTAGATTAGATTAGATTAGATTAGATTAGATTAGATAGATAAATAGACAGATGGATGGATAAACAGATAGATGGATGGATAAATAGATAGATGGATGGATAAATAGATAGATGGATGAATAAATAAATAGATAGATAGATAGATAGATAGATAGATAGATAGATAGATAGATAGATAGATAGATAGATAGATAGATAGATAGATAGATAGATAGATAGATAGATAGATAGACAGAGACAGACAGACAGACAGACAGACAGACAGACGATAGATAGATAGATAGATAGATAGATAGATAGATAGATAGACAGACAGACAGACAGACAGACAGACAGACAGACAGACAGACAGACAGACAGACAGACAGACAGACAGACAGACAGACAGACAGACAGACAGACAGACAGACAGATGGATGGATGGATGGATGGATGGATGGATGGATGGATGGATGGATGGACAAACAGAAACAGCTCGAGAAAGACAGATTACAGAATATTATGCAAAAGAGAAAGAGAAAGACAGAAAATGAATCTTATACAAACACAATACATATATCCCTTAAAAAATAATAAAACAGCTCTATTCATTACCTGATTTTCGTAGGCCTCCTCGCATACACGTATTGGGACGGACGAACCATACACATACACGTATACCTGGTGGTCTCCCCCAAGGGCCCAAATAACTGTCTCATGAGCCGAAACCCTCTTGAACTCAACGCCCAGGTAGGGGAGTTCTCGCCACACAGACTGGTCCGTTGACAGGCTGTACACCCGGCCTTGGTTGTTAATGGCAAAGATCTGTGAGGAAGGCATCTTGTCCCGTTCTGGCTACACTTCCATCTGCCTTCAAAGAGAAAATTGGAGAGTAAAAGAAATGCTCTTTCCTGTAAGTACGAGGCATGAAATTTCTGAAGAATTACAACAATCAATTCAAGGTAAGACTAGGGGATATCTATGTGCACTAT